GGCCGCTCGTTCATTGGCCGACTATCTGGAAGAAGAAGGATTCGACGACGAGAAATGGCAGCGTTATGTGAAGGAACGGGAGCGAGAGCTGGCGCTGAAAAAGCAGAAGCAGGGCGGACCGGAATTTGGACAACGCCGTCGGCCTGGAGATGAATCTGGTGATTCCGGAGATGATGGTGGCAGTCGCGAACGACACAACGAGGATTTGGATGGATGGAAGCGTACGACGGCTACCCCTGTTCCGGCGTCTGGGGCAGCTGTAGCACCGATGTGGGGCCAGATGACAACCCCGGCAGGTCTGGGCGAAGGGCCTGAATTCGCGCGGCGCCGTAGGCCCGGAGACGAATCTGGAGATTCTGGAGATGATGGTGGGAGTCGAGAACATCATAACGAGGACTTGGATGGGTGGAGAAGAACGACCACTACGCAGCGTCCGGATTCTGGGGCCGCCGTTACCACAACACAGGGACAAGCTCCGACCCCCACCGGTCAACGAGAAAGACCCGAATTCGGCCAACGGCGTCGTCCCGGAGACGAGTCTGGTGATTCCGGAGACGACGGCGGAAGTAGAGAACGCCACAATGAAGACCTAGACGGCTGGAGGAAAACCACGGCTGCTCCTCAACCCGGTTTCGGTATGCTACGCCAGCCTGGCGCCGAATCTGGTGATTCTGAGGAAGATGGAGGCCAGCGTGGCGATCACCAAGAAGAGGAGGAGGCCTGGAGACGCACCACAACCCCGGTACCATATACCGAAGTGAGTCGTGCTCCCACTTGGCAAGAAGTTACAACGACTCAGAGCTGGTATAGTCGACCAGAAACTGAGGCTCCCACCAGGAATCCATACTTCAGACCGCGGCCGAGCAACCGCGGCTGGGGTGGGTATCAGAGGCCGAGCTATCAGGCGCCTGAGTATGGAAGTTACCAACGACCTCCATACCCTCAGAATTCCTATGGTAGACCTCAAAGGCCGTCATATCCGCCGCAGCCGGAACCTCACTATGGGAATGACGAACGAAGCTATATTCCAAAGCCTTACCACCCTGGTAACTCGTATCAGGCTAGTCAGAGTCCCAAGACCGACTATCAAGACCAAAAGTACATCCCCAGACCCTATCATCCTGGAAGAACGTTTTCGAATCCCGAACCAGAGCCTCGCTACGACGCCTACGCTCGACCCGCTCCTCAGAATCCCTATTCCAGGCTACAATATGGAGGCGGGTCCGGTTACGATAGGAATCCGTATTCACGCAACAATGGCTTGGAAAATCGTGGATATTCCCGGCCCACCAACAGCTATCAACGCAACGGTTATCGAAATCCACAACGCTCATATAAACGCCCACGACCCGAACCGGAACCGTCGTACCAGAACCCCTACTCGCGCCCGAGCTATGGAAATAGCTACGGAAGACCGAATGCTTACGGACGCCCCTACAATGGATAGACCAATCGAATTTTCAATAATTTGAATAAATTCATGGCGCTTACAACGTTTTATCAATTATGCACTCTTAAACGATCGCTTATAAAATTACAAAAGACAAAGTTAATATCCCAATGTTCTTATATACTCCACGAAATCGCCGACAAGCTTCTCGGCCTCTGCCGCCGACGTCAAATAGTTGTAGACAGCGATGACAAGGGCTGAAACGGAGCAGCGTCCGTTTGAAAAATGTTAAAAAAACTTACTCATTTTATTTTTTGCCAATATCACCGCGTCCACATCACCTTTTGCCAAGATTTTATCCGGGTAATCATACTAAAAGCTGTTGAAATTGCACGAAAGTATTTACTAACCTTTGTCACCTCATAATTCTTTCCAAAGACTGTAACGTTTCCATTTTTCGTCTCCCAGTATTTATTCTCAGCAAAATGGGAAGCCAGCTCTCGACCTTCGAGGTTGGTAAGCTAAAAAGGTTCTAAAATATAAAAAAAGGAATTTCACCTTGACTCCAGCTGGGCCCGCAACGAGTGCACCATTTTGCAGACTTATGATAGCTGCTGTTTGTAGTTTTCCTAAAAGAACGTTAGAAAATGCCTAAAATGTATCCAATTAAATAAAAAAATGGAAAAACGCGCGTAGTTTTTAAAAATCGAAACCAGTGGAAGTTGAACAGAGCGGCGAGGCGAGCGGTCCAACTTCCGTTGTGCGCGATTTAGCTAACGATGCTCGTCAATATTGATAAGGAAATTTAAGTTAAAGACCTAAATCTAAATCCTTAGTTTGAAATTTTGGTTTACCTAAATAGTTTTGCTATGAATGCTAGTTGGTAATTTTCCAAAACAGTATCCGTAGATTCTTACCATATCTCATTAACCCATGCTTCAGATGATTTGCCCAGAGGTCAACCCAAAGATTCGCGGAAGCTAAAGAAAGCTTACCAAACAATTTTTGTTAAAACTTACAAGCCAGCCCGAAAAACAACAACAGCAAGTAGAAGTTCATGGCAAGGCTAAATGTCTGTCTGGGATCTGGTACAAATGTTTCGTGGAGGCGGCAATCTCGGTCTGGGAACGGCGGGAACGCCTTATCGTCACTGATCCGTTTTTTTCTGGGAACTGCCAATCTCAATTTACTTTGATAGTGGCTCTTGGCAATCGCGAAAAATGAATTTATCTGTTGTCGAGTGGCAAAAGTCTGCGTATTTGATGCAATGTACATTGTACAGTGTCGGTGCCAAGCGCAAGATTTTTTAGGGGTTTAGGCGTGCTGAAATCTTTATGAGACTAAAAATTGTATGCAATTGTTTTCAGAATTTCTAGATAGAAAAGATAGAAAGAAAAGATAGACATTGAAAAAGATAACATATTCTCAAATGTGTTAAGAAAAATTCCTTGAACTGTCTGCGCGGATAAATCTTCCGATTGGTCCTTGATCGAATTGGTGCAACCAGGTGTTCTCGAGGCTTTCGATCCTCCAGCCCCTGGTATTCCGCGTTGCCGTCAGCACTTCGCCGTCATACCGCCTGATGTCGTATATAGTCTCATCGAGTTTCGTCGGCTTCGCCTTGGAGATAAAGCGCTTTGGGTATTGTTCAAAGAACGTCAGCTGAACCGAGGCGGCCAAAGCGCGGTCACTGCCTATATAGATCTTAAGCACTTGGCGCTCATCGCGCAGCCACTCCTCGACCACGATTTGCGCGTAAGCATCCGGACATAGGCCACTGGTCCGAGATAAACTTAACATCATCATTGGAACCCTTAGATCGAGGTATTCCCGTTGGGCAATACTGCCCAAGATCACCAGGGCATTAACATATTCATTGAGCGACTCCACCACTTCGCGAAGCTCCGTATTTTCGAGCGATATACACCGAATCATGGTGTGATTCCCAGACGGCCGATGGCGCTTTAGAATCGGCACGCTTAGGTCTCTGTCCATGACCTCCAATTCCCAACAGCGCACGTTGATGCCCTCGGGGATGGCGGCGTTGGTTATCTGGATGCTCGACACTGTGGAATGGTCGAAGATCAATTTGAACGTGTCCACGCTTAGGGTTGCTCGGCGCCCGGAAGCCACGGATGATTTGAAGGCAACCCTATACCGTGAGTGGGTGTGGTTCTCACAGAGCACGACATTCCAAGACTTCTTTCGGCAGCTCCTGGCCAACTCCAACATTTTTTTGCTGGTGATTGCCGTCTTGAAAAAACTTTTGATGTCCATACTCCGAAAGATGTGCGGTTGGACCGCCATGGGAAACTTGTTGAAGTCCATGATCTGGAATTTGAGGGCGTTGCGGCTGGATCGAAAAGTCATGACTAAGGGCAAAAAAAGAGAGAGCTATAGAAACATACAGGGGAATCAAAGAAATTTCACGGGGCCCTCCGCAAAGGAGGCACTCGTTTCACCGCTAAGTAAAAAAATAACCTGCTGGACGGATATATGGCCGTTTTAACTTCTACATTCAATCAACTCGATCAATCCAGCTACGCTATTTCACAATTCAACAATGAAACTGAGCAATAGCAGAAACATTAACTCTGGAGGCCATAAATAAACAAAAAAAATTGTATGTAAACCCCAAAACGATCTTTTGCGCCCCTAAACCCGTGTTTTTTGCCCTAGGTTTGTAAAAGTGAAACGTGTGCCATCTGTGCGTTTCCTGCCGCGTAAACATAATCGGCCCGCCTAGCGAGCCGCAAAGCATCCTATTTTGACGATTTAGGTATCTATCGAAAGCGCTCGGAAAAGCTAGACAACAATCACTTTTTGTTTTTCAAGTTAGATACTCTAATTCACGAATTTTTGGGTCAAAACCCCCCATGAAAACTGCAGATTTTATGCAAAATCCATATATAAATAGCTTGCCAAAGCTAACATGACGACGCTGATTTTGCGCGTTTTTTGAAGAAATCATTTAATATCGAGAGCGGGGCTAAATAATTGTAAAGCAAGAAGCGCGTGTTTTCTCGCCGTTTCGAAAGCTTTGGGATGGTGCAAAAAACATCCCGAGCCGCCCTTTCTCCGGACCGCTAGAGGAGGATCGATTTTTGTGGGACACGCTGTAGAGATGAAACCAAATATCGTGCAAGTCAGAAGTGTCAGAACGAAAGTGAGGAAAATGCCAAGCGCCTCGTAGGATCCGTGGGCAAAAGCAGGTAAGCATGTTGCCACGCAGAAGCCGTTAGAGAATCTGTCTCGAAGCGTTAGGAAATCGGGCAGCTACGCGCGAATTTGGATAACAGCTGTGTGACACATTTGGAGTCAACAACCACATCAGCTTGCCGCGAGGATGCTTTAATGGATTTGGAAGAGGAAACGATACATGCGGCTTTTGTCTAGATCCAAAAATAGTCGATCCGGGAACGTTAGTAGTTGAGCCAATGTATACATTTGCTATGTGGTACACTTGCCATCCTTTCGATTTGTTTGGGTAATCCAGAAAAACCCGCGAATTATTAAATAGTGCCCACAGAATATAACACAGAAACGACGTCCGGCAGTGAAATGAGGATTTAGCAGTTGTACAGAGAAAAATTCTTCGGTTTTCCGATCAATGGACGCCGTCGACCAGCTCGAGGTCGCGTCTGGAGAAGATCTTGGGGAGCACCAGGTTCCTGAAATGGTTGTAGGGTTAAAAAATAACCCCAATAAACAAACAACTTTCCAAGGTTTTTCCTAAATTTTTTTTTTTGTCTAGAAGGTGCTACATTTTTTTGGTAAGTACGTTTTGATGAACTTTGCGTGCATCAGGGCCCGGCGCCGCGTCTTATCGCAAAATTGCGATATTTTTTGAACTTTTGACAGCTACACGTTCTTACCGGATAGGTATGAACATAAATATGACCAGCGGGAACGTCATTCGGACGTAGGCGATTGGGGTCTGAAATCTGTTTTCAAAAATGAGATAAATCTTTACCATTCCAACAGCCAGCAATATCGCAAGTTGGACCAATTGGCAGAGCGTAAATTTGTTTATTGTCCGCTGGTCAACTTTAGTGATATACTCTCGTTTTGGGTAGAGAGACTAATAAACATAGCTATATTTGCTAAAGCCTAAAATTCACAACCTGTTGCGTGAAAAATAGCTGTATCCGCTCGAAAAACTCATGTCCAGTCAGGCTGCTAATTGCCATGAAGAGGAAAAGGCCTGAAAAATATTGAGTCCGTCAAAAATTCTAGGTACCATAAAATAGTGAAATCGGCATGAGTTTGGAGACGTGAGGTAGTAGGTAATAGAACGGAACCATTAATAGGTGAGCTGCCAAAACAGCTACTCGTGTCTCGCGGACCTTATGCATGCTAAAATAGCACTATAGATCCTTGCTATAGGATGGTCTATTTCTTTGATTAAAGCCACTTACATTTCACGCCCGGTGCCATCTTTCCTTACATCCGCTAGAGCTTTCAGGTGGAGGAATGATTGTGGGAGGCCTCCTAAAATTTTATTTGATTTTATTATAGGGAGCTCAATTGGGCCTGCGAAAATTTACCATGCATCCACGGCAGCCCAAAAACAGATAATACTGTATTCAAGGCAGCAACAACCACGAAATCCCAATTATGTGAAGAGCCCTTTTTCAAGCTAAAATAAAACTTACGAAAATATAAAGTAATCTTACTTATTTTGCTTGTTATCAACGGTATTTGTCACGAGGAGCTGGTCCATGAAGAAAAGGATTGAGAGCGGGAATCCGAGGCCAAACGCGACTACAAAGATTAGATTACAAGTTGGCCGTGGTGTTCTTGATACCTAAATGTCCTGCCGGTGGTAGCCTCCAGAATTCGATCCAGTGCGCATCTGGGGTAGTGGAGGAGTGGAAAGAGGCTTCTGAAAACTGTCTATCTCACTTTCTCTCTCTCGCTCTCTCTCTCTCTCTCTCTCTCTCTCTCGGTCTCTTTCTATTTAAACTTACGAGGAACATCCGGAAACAGTGATTGCGTAAGCGTTGCAACCAAAACGACGGCAATAGGAAGTGCATAATCAGATATCGTCTCGCGAATCGCTTCCGAAAACAGGTTCAGGTTTCTGGCATCCGAAAGAGCAGTAGCTAGCCTCCAGCATAAAATCACACTTCCGGCAAATAGCAGAGCTACGGCGGTGTTGCATGCTGAAATCAAAGTTTTTTATGATATACTGTATTCCGTGTCCCTGCGGATACCAAGCAAATTATGAAAATGTCAAAACTTACGCCCAGCATTCACCAAGCAAGCGTGATCGTTGTAGACTCGTACCATAGCGCTTACTGCTTTATAGACAAAGGTTGTCGAGATAAATAGAGAAAACAATTCTTCCGTTGACCTTGAATTGAAAGCTAGGGTATCTGGAGCGTAACTTACCTTTTCGAATGCTTCATAATAACGGAAGCCTCGAAAACAGCATACAGAAACAAAAATATCTGACACCAGATGCCGACACAAGCGTAGAGATGCCAGAAATCCCAGTGGTTAGTGGTAGCAATGTTGAAAATTACTAAAACAAATTTTAGAAACTGGTTCTGGTCCTCAAAACGGTACCTAGTATGTAAATACTTAACGGCGCTGATGTTGTCATAATTAATAATTGTTGGCCTCCGAAAATCGCGAAGAATATCCCGCCTATCCACTGGCCGAGGATCACTTTGGAAACATCTGAAAAATTGCAAAATGTTGCAAGAGTTCGTTCTCAAAACTCAATTTAGAAAGTTCATGAATTCCGAAATACACCTACTTACTACAGCTCCCGTATTCTCTTCATTCAGCATTCCATAAGCTATAGAGGTCGGCAGGATGGTAAATAATAAAAATACGGTAGTACTAATACATTTTTCGATACTTTTTCGATCAGCAAAACCTGGAATTTAATTATGAAATGATGACTAGTAAGCAGCGGCCTGTAATAATAAATACCACAGTTTAAAAACTAATACCGTCAGAGTAATCAGATCCGTAAAAGTGGAGCTTCAACTTCAAATCCTCCCAGACTCCCCGGCCTGGATACCAGGGCTGCTTAGCATGCTAAAAAACGCTTTGCATTAATGGCAGCTCTAGGTCCTGTGATATCCAAAGCGTCTTCATACCTTTTCAATAAAATCGTTACTCTTCGAATTCTCCAAGTGATATTGATCTAGTAATAGGTTATAGGCTTCATCTTCGTTTTTCGTCTCGTCAAAACGAGCCCGGAAAAATTCGTCGAAAAACAGACTAGCAAAAGTCTTCGCTGTTTCTTCAGAAGTTTTGGTATATTTCTAAAAAAGTAAGAAAACCTATTTATTATGTCTAAGTGGAATATACCTGATTTAATGGCCCAAAAACGATTATAACATATCGGAAAGAACGTTTTTCGATGATACCATTATTTATTCTACAAATATAGATTTTCCTGTAGCGGATTTTCTCGTTTTCCAAGCTGAAATGCAAAGTTGTGTGCAGAAAAAGCTTTTACTTACTAGCCAATTTTCACATCGCTGGTTCCGGCACGACCATTTAGAGAACCGATAGAATGGGCAAATTTTACGGTGTTTGCATCTAGGGTTTTTGCTAATTATTTAGCGAAAAAAGTATGCCTTTAATGAGTAGGCCCAAAGAAAGTTCGGCGAGGCTTGGTCGTTCTGTGCAGTCTTTTGCAAAATCTCGACAAATTCTGGAAAATTGCTAAATTTTTGGCAATTGTTTTGCGAAATATTTTTTAAAATAACAAAATTAAATTTAAATCTGCCTTTAAATTCGTTTAAAATTTATTTTGTAGAATCCAAAAACTGACATGTCACATATCGCGGTGAGGTCCAAATTTTCATTCAAAAACTTTAGAGTTATCAGCTTTTTGGCGTTCTTCAAATCCCGCAACCCTCGGGCGTCGTGGTGAAGCTCTTTTGGGGGTTGTCTTTCCGAGCGATGAATTATCACTCCGTCCATGTATTAGAAACTAAAATAAATTTTCTATACGGGTTAGGCTGCGCCCAAAAAAACGCATAAAACAAAATCCACTGCGCACAAAACATGGCTTATCGCCGGGGTCGCGGAATTCCCTCAAAACACGCGCTAGCCGGCTTGCCAAACAAGAGTGCACACGGGGTTCGGCGTCGAACTGTTTGGAGGGTGAAAAAGTGGTCAAAAGCTGCGGGCGGGCCTCGATTTGAATAAGCGGGTCAAGCTGCAAATTCTTGCGGGTTTGATTGGGGTTCATGTTTGGAGCAGGGCGGGTGCTTTTGAAAGATCGGGGTATAAAAGTTACTTCACGTAAATTTACACTAATGCCGGTTTCCATTAACAATCGTTTTGTAAACATTTTTAAGGCATAAAACTGCGAAATTTGGCTAATTGTTTCAAGGATGTCGGATTGGTAAGCTAATCTCGGTTAGAAAAATAAAAATAAAATTAGTACTTCGTCAGCTTCAAAATAAATTTACAAATCGAATTCTAATCATGATAAACCAATTCGAATGTTAAAACGATTCTGTATTAAGGGATTTATGTGGTATTATTAGGCTACATCGAAGAATAAAATTAAAATGATCGACTAAACACCAAAAAAAACTGAATTTTGAAAGCATTTGAAGGAGTCTTGGAAACGAATTTAATAAATCTGCATGAAAATATTTATTCTAATGAGCTCCTACGATAAGAAAACTGTTAATTAAATTAAAAAGCCTCACATGTAGAGGTTGTGGGGTCACAGAGTCCAAAACAGCTCAAAATTGGTGGAAAAATCAAATAAAATATAGGGAACATGATGCGATAAAAATTAGCTGCCAATGGGCACTTTTGTTTAATAAACTTTTAATTTTAAGATTTTGTATGGAAAACTACCTAGAATCTCGACCTGGGGCGCCAAAACCGTTAGCCGCAGGGGAGCCCTCTTGAAGTCTTCCCAAGAGCCCCTTCCCGTCGGACCGTTGGTGTAGGGGTAAGGTGCAGGGGTGGCAAGCTAGTGGTCGAAGGTTCAGATCCCATCGTTATTTTTAATTTTTGCTTTTGCTGTTCTCGCTTTTATTTTGCAGGAAGAGGGTCCAAAAATATCCAAAATGTGTTTTCGAAAGTTTTTCGGCTTTATCAACCCCTATGAGTCGCGGGGGCAGAAAAATAAAATTTCGAAAATTTTGGAAGTTTTTGGAAAAAAGGTCTACCTACCTATTCCAGCTCGATGACAACCAACAAAATAGTTAATAAATATTATTTTTGCACAGACTTTGTAAAAATATAGAGTTATTCGGGCAATCTGAAATATTTCCGGGCTCCGATTTGAAGCGCCTAGGGGTCAGAGCCACCTATATTAAGCAGCTTCCAACCTTCCCAGAATCCGGGGCTATAGGATAGGTAGTCAAAATTTTCGTAAAAATTTTTTCCAGATCAATTTTTTTCGGGTGTGGAAAGGTGTCTAGTGTCGTGGCTGCTATGAAAATTCCATCAAAACATTTTTTCCAAGCCTGAAGGCCCGATAAAGCAGTTAAAATTGCATTTCAGCAGCACTTTTTTGCATAAAAATTAAAAGTTTATTAAACAAAAGTGCCCATTGGCAGCTAATTTTTATCGCATTGTTTTCCCCGTATTTTATTTGATTTTTCCACCAATTTTGAGCCGATTTGGAGTCTGTGACCTCGCAACCTCTACATGTCAGGAAATGCAACAATCATAGCTGATCAATCAATGAGCGCCCAATTGAGGGTGCATTTCCAGTCCACGCGTGGCGTTGCGAGTGCTTGGGAATATCTATGGTTCAGCCGACAGAAAAATGGATTTATGACGAGGATATGGTTGGGATGATGGTGATGAGGATGGGTGAACCCGGTTCGATTGATCACCAGCCAGGTCTTATGACGCGATTTCGTTTGCCGATCTGTTTCCCGGATGTCTGAATGCCATCAGCTGGCTACCTAAAAAAAACAACAACACCTCGCCGAATCCGGGGTATAGTAAGGGGGGGTGATTAGTGCGATGCCAAACCGGTTTTGGCCAGATACGATCAATAAATCCCCTTATTTTGTGATAAGCCTTCCAACGTTAGTTGAAGTACTGATTTCTTCAAAAAAAAATAGCAGAGCAAAAATGGGAATTTGCTTTGCGCGCCTGATTTAATGTTAAAAATGGTGTTTTTTGCAATTTCCGATTCCGATTATACCATAAACCCGTAAAAAATTTATTCGTTAAAAACGAACAGCAACAACAATGCTGATGACGGCCAGCAGAATAGGGCTGATGTAGTTGGCTAAAAGACCAACGATATCGACACGAGCTCACGGATTACCTGACGAAGTCGTTGGTGCAATTGATGCGGCTGTTGTTTGAGTGGTTTCAAATGAATCCTGAAAACTTTAATCGCACTAATTTCCAGGGTCATGCCTTAATCCATGTGGCCAAATGGTCATGGATGCGCTGACGTCCATCCTTTAGGCTCTGAAGTTCATTGTCGCGCCAGGGGTACATGTCGGCGCAGTGGGCGGTGCCTTAAAAACAGGATTTTCATACTTTAACATGATCGAACAACTTTAAATGAGCTTTTAAGGTAATTCAAAGGATCAGAAATGCGGATCTGTTGTGTACTAACCTTCCATAGTAAAAGCATCCACTTCACTGGCATTGTTGGGCGTCAACTTTCCCAGACTCCACCAGGGGTCGATCGAGCCGTTCGGGAAGACAACCTTCGTGCCCTGGCAAAAATTTCAGGAAGCTCTATAGCTCCATACCCTATAATTCTTATCACCACCATAGTCCTTCTGATTCTGTTCTACACCAGCGTAGACGGTATCTGCGATGTAGTCTTTGCCGAAAATATCGATGCACTGGTCAACGTAGAAGCTGAAAAAGAGACATAAAAATTGACGAAAAATTAAATTAGCACGCTGTATACCGTTTTTGGCTCTTCTAACTAAAAGCACTTGAATTATAAAACATCAATAACGCTATCTGACGAGCTTTGAAGCATGAATGTATGATTTTTATAACAACTCACTCCAATGGAATAATACTCCCAAAAATGCCAGAATTCCCGCCGTCTGTCGTCTGGAAGTAGCCCAAAAACGTACACGTCTGCCAGACCCAAGTGCGGTAAGAAGCTAAAAGCATTTCAAAAGAAAATAGAGTTTTCATACCCCATCCCTCATCTGAGTAGTCCGTTTTCTGCATGTTTGCCACAAAGCTCGCGTAGTCGTTGTCGACATTTGGGGCACCGTTGAGTCCATTGTCCCTGGAAACGACAGAAATTAAATGTTATGTATTTTTAAATTGAAAACATACAAAATAATGGAGCATTACTATTCTTAATTTCAAACCATTTAACCAAATTCAAAAGGTTTCTGTAGGCGTTTCCGTTTTTGTCTGTCATGAAATCGCAGGCCTTTGGGATTCCTTCGCCAGCATCCGAGTTGGCGTTCTGAATGGCATGATATCTGGACGCATTAATGGTATCATCGCGTCGACGAGCTTGAGTTACGACACGACAACGTTGACATTACACATAAAATATGGATTTTTCGATTTTGACAGAAATACTGCCAGTATGCCTGTCAAAGTGCTTGAAGAGACAAAACATCCTCAGCTAGCGCTATAACAACGCTTTTCTATGTTTTTCTATTTTCTACCTCAACTACCTTAGTTTTCTATGCCCCATTTTACTACCGTACCCTGTTATCCCCGGAGTACTGGTTAATGCCCTGATAGATCCCATAAAGATTCGAGAAGAAGTATTGCACTTGGCGAGCGATCGGAACCTTGTCGCCAATCGTGAAATTTATGGACGTCCTAAAACCATAAAGCTTCCGAAGATCAGGTTCTTACGGTAAGTCCTGCTGCAAGCTCTTCCGGGCAGCATCATCGGTATACAAGGCATTAATGATCTAATCAAATTATGGCCACCTAGAAGTTAAAAAAACCTGATTGAATGCTGCCCCGATGGCATCACCGCACGCGTCACTGTTCTTACGGTAGTTCTTTTCGGTGTTGACGGCATAACCTATCAAAAACTTTGCAAAAATATGAAAATCCTACCGTAATAGTCGACCCTGGTGTTGACAGCGCTCGAGGTGGAGACGGCCCCGATCGTCATTTCGGGGTAGGTTTCGCGGAACCAGGCGGAGAGGGAGCCTGGAGTTTTAAGTTTTCGTTCTCATGCCTTTATTTCGTCTCTGTCTCGCCCTCTCTTTCTCTCTCTCTCTCGCTCGTTCTCTCTCACTATCCTTCTCTACCCGGATAAGATCCTCCAAAAGTGATCCATCTCGGCGTGACATCGTTAAAATACATCTTATTCATTTGCGTGATGAACTCCTTGATGTCGGCGAGCACTTGCTTGACGGTCAAAAACTTGAGATTCGCGGTGGTTTGCTGTCTAAAACGAATTAAATGCCGAACCTCCATTTTACGGATAGGGCCTGCTGTTGCCGTAGAATCTGTGCTCCACTTGCATCGCTGCCGCTCCAAATTCCTTCGCCCAGCGCATCATGGAAACATTTTCATTTTTTATCCACTTATCGCCACCGCCGCCTAAATTAGCATTACTTATGCATATAGAATTAAACTCACAAGAACTAGATCAACGCTAGTTTATAAATTCCAATACTTACCGATCGGCCCCTCGCCTCCTAACATCAGAAAAACCAGCGGCCGATCTTTGGTGTAAAATTTTGGGTTGTATTGGTATTGCTAAAAAATTTACGATTCTTTTAATTGCGTAAATATAATTGGTTTTCAACATTAAAAAATTACCTGCTGCCAAGTATCGGTTAATTTGTCGTCAAAATGGTCGACTGGTTGGGTGATGTTTGAGTAAATAATGGCCGGATCGTCAGCAGTTTCGAGAGTGTCTTCGAACGGGCTAAATAAGCTTTTGAAATCACGCTACCATATAACAGTATGATACTTAAATTAACTAAAAAATACAAAAATTTATGAAATAACGCAAAGGGTTTTTCGAGCGCTAAAATAAATATTAAAGTATGTGGGTGATTCGACAAAACAACTCACTTGAAAGCATGCTTGTGTAGTCGTTTAAATGTCGCTAAAGAACCATAAGTTCCGCCAAAAAATAGAAAAGTACAGAGTAAAAAGCGGAGCATGGCCGCCAACTCGCAAAGCCGCTTGGAAGTGAAAGACTAATTTTATCACTGGTTCCCTGAATGGCCGATAAGCCTGACGTGGCTTGGTCTGGAATTTTGGCAAAAACGAGCTGAATCAGAATGACCTGGCGTAAAATTAGGAGAAGTGCGAAATTGTGACTTTATCTACAAGGTTTTAATCGGCTTTTTGTAGCACCTGACTAGCATCACGCTCCAAATAATTTATTCAAATCCAAAAATCTCGAAATCATCGTGATAAATCGCTCGTAAGTATTCCATCGTGGTCGAATTGTTCAGGATTTGATTTTTGAGCTTTTCCTTCAGCTTGGCGTCCCGCCAAGAATTGTCGCTGGTGGAGTTCGTAATTTGCATAACAGCCTGAATGGAAATTCTATGTGATCCTTTTACGAAACTTCAGCTGACCTTCTCAGCGTAGTGCTTCGGAATGTTGGCCGTTTCGAAAAGTTGCAGGAACTGTTTGGCAAGCGCTTGCTTATCCGTTGTATGGCGAATCAGGAAGTATTCATGCGCTTCTTTTTTGAGGTTGCAATAGCTGAAAGGATGTCATTGTAGAGGTAACTCAATGTACAGCGTGTTCCAAGAAAAAACACCCCCTCTAACTCGACACAGGAGTATCCTATCGGAATGGCAGTTATACCATTCGAAAGCCCTTGACCCGGTGAGTTTGCAACAATCTTTAAAACCATGTTTTTATTTAAACCCGCTATTTTACCGGCCATTTTGTAAAAATTTCTGATTTATCGGGGTGACATCGGAGCTAATATGCTTCAATTTCTTCATACAAAATGACCGGATAGCTTCTAATTAGATGTTGAAGCCGTCTCTTAAAGCGCACGTTCAGGGAGGGGCCGTGTACTCGCCCCAACGTGTACACCCTATGGACGTAGGGACCGCGCGCACTCCCTGCCCGTGCTGTGACAGGCAATCCCCTCCTTTGCGGCGTGGGGCGCCCCTCACCCCCCGCCAGGTTGTAGCTGTGGCTGACTGGTATCCATCCGCGCCTCCCGAGCGGGCGGCCCGGGTTCGACCCCCGGCTGCGGCAAAAATCTTTGCTTTATTCCAAAAACGTCACTGAACGAGCCCTTTAATGTTTTTAAACCATTTGTAAAATGGGGTTAGAGGGGGTGTTTTTTATGGGGAGTCCCTGCATAATGGCGCTAATATCCCGTAAACCCACTTTGCCTGCGGGAACCCGTGGGCTCGAATAGTGTCTATCTTGGCGGAAGGGAAACGCAGCCGCCCCCGGTACAGCCAATACAGATCCTGTGCGAACTTGTGCACATTTGCTGGGTGTCTGCCGCACTGATGGATTGTGCTGAAAGGGAAGTGGGTGGATGCGGAAGTGAACTGAAAGTGTTCATGACAACGCCTACACGCAAAAATGGCCGAACAGGGAGATGAATCGGTCGACCGGATGGCGGACGACGGCGAAGAGGATGGGTCTTGGTGGAGGTACCCAAATTTTGCGGGGATTCCGGATGAAGCCGTTCCGGATAGTGCAAACACTGAAAATGAGAGCTTATTTTTAACGAAATAAGATTGCAGAACGCGCTAGTTTATAGGCTTATTTTTTCGAAAACTTATATATTTTATAAACCTTTATAATTACATTCGTAAATAACGATCTATGATTCATTAAATTTATAATTGGTCCAAAACCGAAAGTCAGAATTAGGTTGAAAAAGGTTGACAAATTCAATAAAAGCCTATTTACTTGTTTTTTTAGTGTCGATTTCGCAAATTCCTAACAAAAATACGCCTAAATATCGTCACTTTTCTGTAATCTGAATTTTAAATTGAACTCTTGGAATTAAAAAGCGTTTCCTCTTCTATCATTTTAGCCAAATTAACGTAATTTCATAACGCCAGCGAAGTTTACCATCTTAGTCGGACGAATATACCTCTAATGCTAATCAATAAACTTACTTGATGCCATATTTATCATCGGTAAATTTCTGTTCATAAGGTATCGCATGGAAATCGCGTTGTAAGTCGCACAAAACGGTATGCGCAATTGTAGAGCCCGTTTTTTCAATAGGGCAGTAAGATATGCCAAGGCCGGTGTTTTGCTAAATCTCGGAATTTCCTGAAGAATCTCAAAACCCACCAAAAAGTTTAAATTCCTCAGAATATTTAGCGGTTGAACTACAGGGTGCGTGGGTTTAGTCTGATTACTGTAGGCAAGGGCAACATCTAGAAGGCAGATGGCGCCGAGGGCGCTGAAGATCATGAGAGCGACGAATGGTTCGGATCAGGGCTGGCATGGAAGTGCACTTTAGGAGAAGCACTTCAGATACAAGGCCGCGCTATTCCTGCCAGCGGCGCATTCTAATCAGGGTACTTCAGCGGAAAGGCGAGGCGCTCCAGAGTTCAGCTCCAAAGTGAGCGACGATAACAACGTAAAAATTTTTCTTTCTTTCGTAAAATAATCTAGAAAATAATTTATTCCTCAAAGTCAAACATTTCATAGTCGAAATGATAGATTGCTTTTATGTAAGCCATCGTTTCCGGGTTTTCCCGAACGGCTCGCTGTAGTCGCTGTTTCAACTGGTGGTTGCCGAGCGCATTTTTGCTGGACGATTCGCTGATGTGGGCCAGGGCCTGAAAAATAATGCTTTACTGCTGATTCGCTTGAAAAAAAATAAAGTAAAGCCTATCTCGATTTCTGCAATTTTATGTACAATCTCTGGTAGTTCACCTTCGACGCGAATTTTGGGGGTACTCCAGCTTTCAGGAAAATTTCCAGAAATTGTTCTTTCAAAGCCATTGGGCGGTCGTCGTGGTAGATGATGTTAATTGGGGAATCTGGGTCTCGGAGGTTGCAATATCTGAAGTTAAGGGCGGAAGTTTTTAATAAGACTCAAACTCTTGCCTCTCACTCTCGCTCTCCCTCTCTCTCTCTCTCTCTCTCTCTCTCCCCCCTCTCTTCTCTCTCGCCCCCCTCCTTCTCTCTCGCCATCAAAGGAAACTTACTGTGTCTGCGGCAACCCGTGTTCATAAATCGTCCTGTACTTCGACGACCGGAAAGTTCTTCGCCCCCGATAGAGATTATACAGATCCCGCGCAAATCTGTGCACAGTAGTCTCTCGTCCACAGTAGTGCCCGTGTCTAAAAATCATCATTAACCTCAAAATTTTCACTTACAAACAAAAATGGCCATATAACGAGACGAATCGAGTCACAGGATCTCGCACCACGGCAAATTTCACCGGAAGACTTCTTTTCCGCCATCGTTGAGTCGGATTCCGCTTGAAGCCATTTCTCTTGGTACAGACACTACTTACAACGTTGTTTAATTAAAATTTCCTTACTTTATTCCATATTTATCACGGCCAAATTTCTGTTGGTAGCGAACGCCGTGGAAATCGCGTTGTAAGTCGCACAAAATGGTATGTGTGATGGTGGAGCCGGTTTTTTGGATTGGACAATACTCAAGTCCGACGCCCGTGCGTTCCTAAAAAATTTTTTGGCATGGGCTATTTCTCTAAGAAAAGCCTACCATTGTATTGACCCTTCTGAAGCGGGTGATCGGGCGAATCACTGAAAAATTAGGGATTAAAACAAATCATGAAGAAGGTAATAAAAAATTCTTTTGCCCGCTATCTCTCTATCAGTTTCTCTCTCTCTCTCTCTTTCTCTCTCTCTCTCCCTCTACCTGGATAAGACCCTCCAAAAGTGATACATCTCGGCGTAACCTCGTTAAAATACATCTTATTCTCTCACTCTAGCTATCTATCTCTCTTTCTGTCTATCTCTCTCGCTCTCACTCTCTCACTCCATCTCGCTCCCTCACACCCTTTATTTCTCTAAATTCTCACAGAACATTTGCTCTTCGGTAAAACCTAGGATTTGTCAAGTATATTTCTTTGATTCATCTTAATGCCACCAATCAACTTACCAGCATAACTCACAGCAAACCATAGAGGTAGTAAAAGCAACCTTCTCATCGTCTAGAAGTCGAAAGTGCGCATCCGATCCGGCCGCAGAACTCAAGGGACAGTGAGTGAAGGTGAAGCCCGCCATGCGAGAACACCGTGGCTGCCAGAATTTTTGGCGCGCCCAGCCCTACGGTACAGGCCGAACTTGCATGCTTGCGCAGCGTGTCTAGGAAAGGGAGAGGGCTAGTTTCATCAAAGTTCAGCAGCGAACAACCCCGGGAGGCGTTGTCTCCGAATTTTTTTGTGGCGGTAGGCGAAAACGAAGCATGACAATTGGTGACTAGGAAATAACTTGAGCTCAGCGAGGACCTGAGAGCAATGGCAGGATGTGCGAGCGTCAGAATTCCTGCGCAAAAGGGTTTCTTTGGCGGCCCTCAAATAAAGGGACGCGAAAGGTTGTTCCATAGATTTTGCTAAGCCCGCCCATCCCCCTGAAACAAAAACCGCTTTCTCTAGGAAAAAGATTACGGTGTTCATGGCGAAGACAACCGTTGGGTGTTTAACTAAGTGTGAATTTGGCGGGATTTTTCGTCGCAGCCGGCTCTTAAATAGTTTTTTGATAAAATCGTATTCGTTGCAAATTTTAAGTTCTATCAATTGAGCTATGGCCAGACCCGTAGGAGGGGGCAACTGGGACAAGTTGCCCCCCCAAAATCGGCCGAAGGCCGAAAAATGCATAAGGGGGTCCCTTATGATTTTTTTTCGTGAACATTTTTTTGCCTGCGGCGCTTTCTATAGTTGTTTTTAAGACTGTTTTTACTGTCATAGCCCTAAGTTTTTCAAAATTTTTCGCCAGCGGCGCTTTTTTTGATCGTTTTGATACGTTGCCAAAAAAATTTTCTGGAATTGCCCCCAAAAATCGGGGATCGCTACGGCCCTGGCTATGGCACACCATAAAACCCCAAAAGCATCTTAAAGGGGCACTTTCAGCAGCTCTGTTTTTCCACGAACCGTGGAAAAATTTGCATGCATTTCCGGCTAGAGAGCGCGCCCTAGTGAGAGGAGCAGACATTTTGCATGCAAATTTGTCCACGATTCGTGGAAAAACGGAGCTGCTGAAAGTGTCCCTTTAAAAACGTTTGCCAGGGTGCTAACGAAAACCATGAATCAAAAAGCACATCGGGTTCTTGCGACAAGAACAAGTAAGGAGATTTTGATCGGTTCCGAAGGCTTGAGACATAGTCCAAAAATACACAAACTACCAAAATTAGGTGTGGCCTCCGTTCTCTGATCAGGACAAGAATCGCTCTCCTTTCCCTTGCCCATCCAACAGGTGCTTAGGCTCCATCAAAGGAGCACAATCTTTCGCTCCTAACAACGAGCCTCCAGGGTCCCCTAGGGCGGAAGGTGAAAATATTCTGAAAAGAGCTACGGTCTTCTTTTCGGCACGTGCACACACTTAAGTGCGCTGTTGCGATGCTACATCTTTTGCTCTTAAAAACCGGAACTAACGGCTTGACCCTGGGGTTCTGATAGCCTTCGAGAGCAGCACTCTTTGCCTGCGGATTAGGGGTGCCTCTAAAAAAGACTGGAAGCATGAATTCCCAAGAATTACGATTCAAAACGTCAGTAAGTACCGAATTTCGTTAAGTTGTTTTGTGAAGCTTCCCACCAATAGCGTTCTCGTTTACGTTTTACGTTTTAACAAAAGGTGCACACAGAAAACAGAAGGTTGATTCATACCACCTGTTCATGCCAATGGAATTCGCTCTTTCTAGAGTCGATGGACTGATAGCGCTTCATGTGTCTGTCCTACTTGCTTCGGAGTGCTTTGGATGTGAGACATTGGAAGGGGCCGGGGTCCAGGTTTACAAAACTCAAACATTTTATGACAATAACTAGATTAAAGAGCAAACTGAATGCCGTTTAAGGAGAAACACTGATCGTGTTCCGTCGAGGTTGATAGATCGAGGCTACCGTAGTCAGCTCAACTTTTGGAGGAACCACGGCTACGTCACGCATCGTCGGGCCGGTCAACCGGCGGTAGAGGCGGAAGAGGAGCTAAAAATTGGGATTGAGGGGGGCAAACCACAAATATCTTAATACCAAACAGGCGTGCGATACCTTTCTTTCCGTCATGAAAATAAATTTCTTGCTAACCAATTTTCAAACGTTTTTGAATAATCATCTGTTCGTATAGACACTATTTCACCTGGGGCAGACTGCAAGAGAGAGAGAGAGAGAGAGAGAGAGAGAGAACGAGGGCTAGGCCGAGGTTTACTGTCTCTTTACACTTCACAGCATCAACTCGACATTACTCCTGCACACACTTTTCCGCACAGTCTTCCTTCCGCACTCACACATTCTCTATCTCGCTTTCACCTCTTTTCTCCCGCCCTCACCTGTGGTGCCAACCTCACTATAAAAACCTAAATCACGATTTGAAAATGCCCAAAAATGGTGTGCACCACCTAATAACCACCATTTTCACGGGATTAACCACCCGCTCCCACCCTCGAAAAATGGCATGAACCGGGAACCCAGCCCTGGTCAAGGAGCTTCCTTCCAAAAAACCGTTGTTGAACTTCAATTCCGGTTCTCGCCCCCCGCGCGTATGTGACGTTGAATTGCACGCGGATTCTTGCTCCCAAATCGTGAGTAAAGCGTAAAATAGGGAAACCGACAAGCACTTAGACTCAGAATTTTCAGGCTCTCGGAACTTCTGATATGGATAAACAATTTCTACTGTGGGCAATCTAGATCATAATTTACGTGTTTTTCCGCACACATACGGTTTTTCAACGCTTACCCCTCTATCATTCCGCAATTTGTGCCGAAAAATCGGGACCATCAGCAGGTACGTGATGCCCATTGGGAATAAAAAAGTGGCGAGAGCGGTTACTGTAATTCGATTATGAGCTCTCAAGCCTTTTGCTCTTGCAATTACCCGCTTGCTCGCCGTAGTCGTCTGCTGTCGGGAAATCCTGTTTTAGATAGATGAATTGCCCGAAATTGACGGCCAAGCAGATCCCGGTGACCACTAAAATCGAGTTTTTAGCATAAAATATATTTTCTCAATAGGACCTGTAAATGAGGTCTCGTTGTTGATTTCAGGAATGGTGCTGGGTTGGTAGTGGATGGCTGAAAAAGTGGAAAATCGAATGATAAACGGCCATTATGTTTTATGGCAGAGTATGATATGGGAAATTGACAAAGCGCGCTTACATTGATTGCTCAATTCTTCGCTCGTGCGGACGGTGTGAACAATTCTGGCTCGATCGCCACTAGGAATTGAGGAAAGGCCGCTGGCGAGACGTCTGGCTCTCCGAAGATACATCCTAAACCACAGCACATATTCATTTTCTAGCCTCATTCCGGCTAGCCCTTATGAGCGCTCCAGAAAAAGCACTTTTAGCTAAAAATCTGGAAAAATCGAGAGACAAGGCTATGCTTATGCATCAGACTTACCGCCTTAAAACAGCGATTACAATCCAGGTGATCGTTAGCCCGGAAGTGGTGGCGTAAACAACGAAAAGAATCAATCGATAGCCGGCCTGAAGATGGGCAATAAAATAGCCATGTTTCCGAAAGAAACTCAGAAGCAGTTAAGAACTTGCATAGAGAATATGATTGTCCCAGACGACACCAGTTCCTAAAGAAATTTGAGGTCCATCCCAGGCGAATAGTGTTACGAAGCCGAGTGGGAAGAAGAAGACTAGGTGTTGCGCGATTAGGGAGACGTTGTAGCTCCAGACCTAAGTACGAGGGAGCTCTCTCAGTTCTCTCTCTCTTTCTCTCTCTCTCTCTCTCTCTCTCTCTCTCTCTCTCTCTCTCTCGGTTTCCCTACCTGATAATGCTGATCCACCTTGAAGCTAATCGCCACGGCTCTCGAAAACCCGTGAACCACCAGGCTAAAGTGTTGAAACAAATGGGCATAAGCGCCCACGGCCCAAACCATCGTTCTCATCAATGCATCATTCCGAGCAAACCTAAAACACAAACTGCCAGATCGTCGTACTCAACTTACAAACTAATATTGTAAAATGGGTTTGACACTAGCCATATCCCGTGCAGCAGCACAATACAATTGGCGATGGTTAATGGGATAGTGTGATAGACGAAATAACAGCAAGTAGACCTAAGAATACGTCTTTTTAAGATGCTTATTTTTCTCTTTGAAATTCATCTATATAATACTTACATTAACCGTTGAAAAACTAGCGCAATAAATGCCAAATTTGTAGCCAATGCCGAGATTTGAAGAAAGAAGATGACAATCTGCCAAAAGTCCATGATGATCTAAAGGTTGTCGATGTTGTTTTGCGATACCTTAAAAGCAAGAAAAGGGGAGGATTAAGTCAGATTTGTACAGGGTGCGGAAAAAAGTTTTCGGCGGCGCACCTTTTATGAAAAAGACTTGTCAAGATGAGCGTTTCAACTACATTTTTTTGTGGTGTCATGATAGATTGGGACAATTCTCATCCGATTTCACGAACCAAAGATTTATTGATAAGTGCTCTACTAAAATAACCGAGCTCGGAACACCGATGCGCAGGCGAGTTTCTAAAATGGCCACCATTTGGCCGATGTAGAAAGCGCGGTTAAAATTTTCCGTAGGAGACTACCAGGCTTCCGAGCTTACGGATTATAAAGAACAACCCCTTAGCATTATTCCATATCAATATCATTGCTTTGTCAACAGACATGGCTGAATTCTCAGCTGATTTGGCTGAAAAGCGGCAGCGTGCCAAGGCTTTAGAATGTTCAGCACAGCCTAAAAGCCGTTTCCAGCGCTGGTTTCAAGCATCGTTTTACTTTTTTAGCTTAAGGGGTGTCGATTAAGAATATCCGTACGCTAAGTCCCATTAGCAAGGCCGTTCTCTTCGGATTTTGTGACTACTGGCAGGAGATTTCCCGTCTGGCCCAAAAATTCACCAAAATTAGAAGCGTCATAACTCCTTGGAATTGAATCAAAATTTCTTGAGATTTTGTGGGAAGATAGACCACAGGTTTGACAACATTTCTGCAAAATTTTATGCCTTTTGACCAAGGATAGCTCACAGGGGATACTGTAACATCAACGAAACAGCAGCGTGCCGGGGGGCGGTTCTAAGAAGATCTTTTCGGTCGTTCTAATCGGGTAAAATCTTTGAATTTGGGTAATCCAGTCGTGAAATATGATGCATGAGTTTTCACTATCCAGCCTCGAATCCAAAAAATCGGAATAACGCCTCTAGGTTGCGAGCAACAGAGTTATTTACCCCGCCGAAAACTTTCTCCGCACCCTGTATTATGATTAAATTTAGATTTCATGAAATAGTATAAATAATTGTAATTCCCGGCATTTCAAGAGCTTGTTTGCTAGGCCTTTTCGAGGCCGATTACATTTCCAGTGTTTTTCTCTTGTCTAGGAGGTGCCCAGAAAAGCCAAAATTTGTAGTCTTGACCTATGTAGAGCATTGAGAAGCACAATGAAATTTTGGGTTTAGCAAATCTCGCATGTCGATTTGGTAAAATGATAAAGAGCAGCTCTCAAAAAAAAACCGGTTTTGCAAATGCTGCTGGAACAAAAGAGGCAGGGCTCAAGTAAAATAGTCGAATAACGCAAGATGGTACAATTCGGATAAGCGGGGGGATTTTAGACGGGGGAAACCAACTTTTTTTTTGTCGGCCCTAGTGGGGATAGTAATCAAATATAAAGTGTTTTCACATTATTTTTAGCAAAATTTAAGCGTATTTGAATCGGAAAAATTTTTTTAAAAATTAGAAAAACGCTTGAAAATCGAAAATTGGGTCATTTTTGGGCCGAAAAAATTGATTTTTCGACCTAAAATTAAATTTTTTAATTAAGTTTTGTAAAGTTTTTATGTTTAGGAATAGCTATAAACAATTTAGAAACACTTCCATTATTTATATAAAAAATATAGGCTTGGGCGGAAAAAAGTTCGGTTCCCCCCGCCTAAAATACCCCCCGCTTATCCGAATTGTACCCGCAAGATCAACAAAAGCAGATATGTCGCCTCAAGACATTTCTAATGCCTGTAATCACAAAAGTCAGACGGCAACGTTTTACGATTAAGATTAAGATGAATTTCTGCTGTTCTGAATTCGGAATCTACGGCGTCGCTATGGTAAGCCGAAATTACCGGCCGGAGAGACCCAAATTAACGGGTAGTTCCTCAAGACGCCAGCCGCGGGCCCAACCCAAGAACGTCCTGGGGACTGCAGGCCTCATTTATCGTTGCACAAATTCACCGGGGCAACCAACCGGCGGCAGGTAGGAGCGAGATGTGAGGAGGCAAGTGAAAAGTCCTGTGTGGGCCCTGGGGCTCTCATCAACTCGTGGCTGGAACGTGAGCCCGTACCCCTATTAAAAACACCTGTCTTTTATGGAGATGTGATGGTGCGAACTTGGCTCGAAAAATATCGTAAAAACGTGTCATTTTGAAACAAGAGGTATGAATCAGGAAAACACCTTTGAAAGGGATGGGAACAGGGACGTAGCGTAATCGGCCGGGGCCCGAAAATGTCATAACCCTTATGCTTTTTATTTTCTCAAAAATTTTGCTTCCTGCGGCGCTATTTTTTCCACGTTGTTACTGCTATTTGTCGAGCTAGGTAGGCTTTTTTCTAAAATTTTTCGCTTGCGGCGCTGTTTTCTCGTTAATTTTTTGAGTTTTTCGAAAAAAATTTTTGGCCCGCCCCCGAAATTTTTTTTAGATACGCCCCTGGATGGGAATGTGTCGACCGACGCACACGCAAAACAATCGGTATCTGCGTGCAGGATAGTGAAATTGAAGGGACAGCATAGGCTAGCATTTTTCGACGCATTTTAAGCGGCCGTCAACTCCTACCTGACGCACTGTGACGCACAAAACACCTGTCTGACGCTGGTCTATCTGGCCGCTAGATAGGCCTAGTGGCATTTTGCGTAGAACATAACCATCGAGACCTAACCGCCGAGGGAGGGCACCCCGCCGAGCCGACGCGGGAGAGATCTACCTCACTCGCTGAAAGGAACTAGATCTTTGAATTAATCGACTAATGGACTGTTGCCTTATAATTCCTAATGAACACCTGGGCTCCATCAAGCAGGGCATCGTAATGTAAAAGAGGCTAGTAATCTGGTGTTGAATTGCGATCCCCAATGAGAAAAAGGGCCATTCACAAAAGGGTACCTGCAGGATTAGCGGGACGACAAAATTGGTGTTGTCTGCAAGGAAGGCTGAACAATGACATTTATAGTTCATGCTCCGGACCCCGGCGCCTAAACAAATTGTTTTTTCAAAAATTTCGGCTCGAATACTTCAAGTTTTCGTCGGCCCATATATCTAATAAATTACGACGTAAAATCACTCAATTCCTAACCCCGATAACTTCCTGGTCGCGTGCGTAATCCGCGAAATTTTGCCAGTGACGGGCAGGCGACCTCGGCTCTGATAGTCGAGACCCCCATCATTTACCTTCCGCTTGCTAATTTCCCAGAAAAAAATCGGGAAATCCCATCGTGCGGAGGAGAGGAGAACGGCAGTCGTAGTGGAACGTAAGCCCGGGTTCCGTGACCCGCGCCCCGGACCCCCGGCTAGCATTCTTGGGCGCCGGGGTTTGGATGTTGTTTTATTGGATTTTTCTAGGTCTAAATATCTATTTTCCGGATGTCGCGGCAAGGTAAATTGTAGTCTGTTAACCGTTTCGTTTGCGAATAATTAAAAATTAATTCTATTCAATTCATGAAAATCCAACTCCCATAACGCTCCAGATTCCGACACGATTTAAAGAGCCGGGTTAGACATTGCTCTAATACGCGCAGTTTTTCGCCTAATTCATTACGACATTTTAAGACGAATAGGTAAAGCATGCGGTGCGCGTCGCGGATACCGCAAAACCCAACCATTCCACGGCAAAAAAATGACAAAAAAGACTTGTAAAAAAACCCGTAATCCCGTAAAACTAAAATTTTAGCAGATTCCAACCCCAATTCCCGTCGCCCCATTCGCCTTACGTTCGGATGAGGGTAAAGCACACGAGATCCGGGCTCCGAATTCCATTGCTGAACGCTAATGACGTAATTTTCACGTTGTGTCTTTGTTGAACAAAAAATTTAGGCTTTCTTCTACGGCCCGATCACCATCGGCAACCCGCCTCAAACATTTTTGATGGACTTTGACACGGGCTCCGATCTGACCTGGGTTTCCTGCAGATGCAAGGCCAACTCTCCGCAATGTTTGCGCAGGAATCAGGTGAAAAGTGAAGGAAAAAATGGGTTACAGAACCGTAGCATTTTTGCTGATGTTGGGTAAATACAGGTGGAGTTTTTTGTTTTTTGATGCTCAAGGATCAGGGCAAATGTTGTGGAACGAAATACAATTATGGTGGAATGTTATTAACACGCGGGGGGGGGAGGGGGTGCTAATGCGGAACGAAAAATCATTAGTCTTATGACAGTTAATACGGAAATTGTAAAAGCCTTAAATAATCGTCAAATACCATCTTACAAAATTGAGGACTTTCCAAAAATTGTTTTTCACTGGAAAATATTATTGATTTTATAAAATCCTACCTTTTTAGTCAATTAAATCGCCGAAATATCTGCCTAAAATTTTTGTAAATGGTATTTTAATTCCAGGAGACCCGTCGAAAGTAAAATTGTTATCAAAATCTTTTGCTTTTTGCAGTTCTTCTGCGAGGGTTCCTACACTTGCCGGGATACCTCGAAATTCTATGAAATCGTCTACGGATCGGGCTCGGTGGACGGCAACTGGATGGCGGACAAAATTTGTGTAATGCCTTTACATGAACTAACTTTATGCATTTTAGTGATTTCCAATAGCTATAAAATGTTCAGATCGGTCCAAGCTTCTCCGGATTCTGCACGGATTCGTCGCAAAAATTTCTTTGTGGCCGTAGTGTCAATGGTGACTTGGCGGTGAGGTCTTTCAGAAAATCTTTTAATTGGGTTTAGGACTCTGACGGAACCGTTGGGTTGGCCTATAATTTCGGCACGCTCGGCGCGTCTCCCCTGAGGTTCATTTTTGCCGAGGTATCGCTGATTGAAATTTTCCGGGTGTTTATTCCAAATTTCAGCCCTACTGCAAGCATAAGATGTTTTCCATCTGGATGGGGAAATCGATGGAGCATCGGGGTGGGGAGTTGACGATCTGCGGGGCAAACCCTTCGCGGTATACGGTAGGTAAAGCACTTTTTAGAAAAATGAAATATTCGGCATATAGGGACCAATCTACTGGGTGCCGATCCTGCGTGATGATCCATTTTGGACAATTCGAGTGCACCGCGTTGCAATTGACGAGTTTACGGTAGTTTCAAGGGGTTCGAAAGAAAATCTGGCAAAGAATAGAGAGAGAGAAAGAGAGAGAGGGCGAGGGAGGGAGAGAGACAGAGGAAGAGAGAGAGAGAGAGAGAGAGAGAGAGAGAGAGAGAGAGAGGGAGAGGGAGGGAGAGAGAACGAGAGAGTGAGAGAGAGTGAGAGATTGAGTGGAGAGAGAGAGAGAGAGAGAGAGAGAGAGAGAGAGAGAGAGATAGACATAAAGACTTCGCTTCCAGGTCCAGTTTTAGGTCTGGCGGCCCCCTAAAGCGAGAAAGCATTATGCCATGATTGACTCCGGTGCTTCATTAATGGATATAGGCGCAGATGCTTTTTCCCAGGTGACTATTTCCGGATTCTTAGGTAATTTAATTTTCAGATTCGTAAATTTATCCCGGATGAGGAGTGCGATCCGGATCGGTTGCCGAATATTGTTTTCACCCTCGGGCCCGGGCTGAACTTCATCTTCAGGCCGAGGGACTACAAGGCATTTTATGTAAATTATTGGAGTCTATCGATTGCCTTTTAAAATTAGTAGAATCGATCTTTCGATATTTCTAGACCTAGTTGATCCCGTTTTTAGAACCCAACTCAATGCTCGTGGCTCATGTTCGGAACTCGTCATGGCAACCGTTGGAGCTTCGGCACCTCCTTCATCGAGCGCTTCTACACCATCTTCGACTTCAAGCACGCCCGCCTTGGGTTTGCCGAATCGATTTGATCTCATACATTCCTAGTGACAAAGACAATACGATAAATATACCTATTTGAACCTTTGATCCCGAGCAAACGCTAGACGGACATTATCA